TGCTGAACACCACCCTCTTTCCCCACAAGCACAGGCAGGGGTGGGTATTTTCTGCATCTCCAAGGCGGCGTGGCAGAGAGGAGACCAAGGGCACTAGAGGAGAGCCAAGCATGGAACTGCAGCAGAGTGCCAGATGCCAGCTATGCAAGACGCAGGGAAGCCTGCTGTTTCTGGTAATGTGCTGCTGCCTCCCACCATTGTGCAGATTTTCCCCGGCTGCCTGGCCAGAGCATTCTACCGCAACACCATCCCCCAGCTCTTCTTCAGACACCTCCTCCCAGGCGCATCCTCTCCTTCACAGAAGCTTACCAGCGATTCCCCCAGCCTACCACCTTTGGTAGGGTGCCCCTCCACTTCGGAAAACCTTAGGATGCAGTTAATTAATGAAAAGACGGTTTGGGGCAAAACAAGTCTCTCTGAGAGCTACTGCTGTATGACCTGCTCCGTCATCGTTTCTCCGGCTTTGTCTGGCAGCAGGAGGCACGCCCGCTGCGTATCCTTGAAACAAACAAGCCAGAGAAACCCCTTCACCCCTCAGAACCACCACAGAGAAATTCTGCGCCCACCTGGCTAAGTGAAAGCTTCACAAGGGAAAAAAAGTTTTCATCAGCTCTGCCCGAAACTGCGCATCAAAGCGGTCCTTTGTTCCAGGATGGCTGGGCACCCTGCCCATCTCAGTCACCGGATGAGAATGTCCCCCGCCCCGCGCCGCAGAGGAGCGGTACCTGGCTGCCTGCAGCGGCTTGTCCAGCGCCGGTGCTCGCGGAGGCGGCGGAGGAGCGGCGGCCGCGGCGCTGCGCGGCTCCGTCTGCCGCGCCGCCCGGGGAGCGAGCAGCGGCGCAGGCACCCGGCGCTCGGCAGCCAACCACACTGCGGCAGGGGGAGGGGAGGGATGCGGACACGCTCCGGGAACAGGACGGTCGGACGCTCTCCTGGGAGCGCAGAAAGCGCCACGCACGCCAAGCTCACAGCTCCCTCCTCGGAGATCCACGGGAGCGCCCAGGAGCAGGGCCGAGCCCCCACGGTGCCGCCAAATGCTTCCCAAGCAGCACTGGCCACCACCGGGCTCCTGTTCAGCCCGACAAAGCCCCGTTCCATCCCACCCTCCATCCTGTGGCCGAAGGTTTTACATCCTCTTTGGTACCACCCTCGGCTGTGTCCCCACTGCTGACCCCATCCCAGCCTCCAAAGTCAAGCTGGTGTAGCTGCCGAGAGCCCCCCAGCTGCATGGAGGCTATCGCTGTGCCCACAGCAATGGACAGATTCAGGAGATCTGGGAAAGCTGGAGCCCTGCTGTGTCCACACTGCGCAGTGTGGGGTTAGGCCGGGTACTGCTGGGAAGCACTTGTTCAGTCTGGCTGCTCTCCTCAGAGAGGACAACGACACGGGATCCAGCTTAGATTGTTGCTACAGCCATCCCATGCACGGTAACACACAACTGTCACGGTGCTCCCGACGATGTCCCCAGCTATCTACATCTGCCTGAACCAGTACTGCACCGGTGTTCCTGTCCCTCCACACGGATTCCCCCAGACGGGGAAGGGCTTCAGGTGTCCCAGGAGGAACACAGCTCAGCCCAGCCATGTTGACACGCAGGCTCTCTCTTGCCTCATCGCACAACACATATTTATTAACTAAAGCACCTTGGTGCCCTCCATTCCCTAGTTCTGGAGGGCAAATCTAGCTGGCTGTGGGGGTACATACAACTATGGCACGCTTACATTTCACATAAGTTACACAGCAGAAGTGCAAACATACATTATTTGTGTTACAGTGAAAGCCATTCTTGGCAATGAAGACACAGACTAATTATAGAGCAGTGAATCCCGCAGTCTGTGCCCACAGCACCCTGGAAACAGCCACGGCCGGGACTTCGGGCTGACCCACAGCTGCCACACACACATTGCGCTCTTCCCCCGGGGGCTCCCGGCCTCCGCCGCCCGTCCCTGCGTGGCAGTCGGTCCTGCCCGCGGGGAGGCCAGGCGCACCGAGCCCGCGTACCGGGAGCTACCCGAGCAGAGCGGGCACCGGCAGGGCTCCCGAGCCAGCGGCTCCCGGGGCTGAAGGGGGTTGATCCCGCAGGGCGCGCCTCGCCGGCTCCAAAGTCCGCAGAGCCGGCAGCGCCCTTAGCGCCGACCCGCAGCGTTACGGCGGGCACGGCCCGAACGCTGCCCTCGCCCCCGCTCGTTCCGCTGCCCAGCGGGCAGGGCGCCCCGAGCCTCGCCAGCCCAGCCCAGCCCAGCCCAGCCCAGCCCCACCACAGGGCCTCCCCAGCTCCCCGGAGGGTCCCACCGCCCCCCGCGGCTGGCGGGGCGGCGTCGCCCCGGGAAGGCCGCCCCCGCTCCGGCATGCGCCGCCGGGCTCCGTGTGTCCTCCCCATGCCAGGGTCGCCGAGGGAAGCGACCGAGCCCTCGTAAACCCGCCCGTCCAACCTGCTGGGCGCAAGATCTCGATGGCGGTCCCAGTCGCTGTCCCGGTCCCGGCGGGGGCGGGGCGAGACCCGCGGCCGGCACCACCCGCCCTCTCAGCGGCGCAGCCCCTTTAAATCCAAGATGGCCGCCGCCTCAGCCCCGCCGGCGGGAGCGCGCCACCTGCCGGCGGCGCCAGGTGAGGCCCGCGGCGGCCCCGCCCCGTCCGGCGGCGCCTTTCCGTGGCCATGGCGGCGCTGGGGCTCTGCCGCGCCTTCGGCGCTCTCCTGCTGTCGGCGGGCCCCCGCCGGGCCCGGCCCCCGCCGCTGCCGTCCGGCCCCCAGCCCTGGCTGCCGGGGCCGGTGTCGGCTCCTGCCGCCTGCCGCGGGCTGGGCGGCTCGGCGCCGCGCTGCACCACCGACCCGCTGTGGAAGTGCCGGGTCAAGTACACCGTGCGGCCCGTGGGCATGAAGAAGACGGGCGGCCGCGACCACACAGGTGGGCGGGCGGGCTGCCGGGGCCGGCTGGGCGCGGGAGATCCCGCCTGCAGCCGCTCCCGTGTCCCGCAGGCCGCGTCCGCGTGCGGGGAATCGGTGGGGGGCACAAGCGGCGCTACCGCATGATCGACTTCCAGCGCCTGCGCTACGAGGAGGGAGCCCCGCCGGAGCCCTTCACCGAGAAGGTCATCAGCGTCCGATACGACCCTTGCAGGCGAGTGCGGCGTGCGGGCTCGGCCCCGGGCCCGGGCAGTAGCGCCGGCCCGGCCCCCTGCTCACCCGCCGCGGGTTCTCCGTGCAGGTCGGCTAACATCGCCTTGGTGGCTGGCGGCAACCGCAAGCGCTGGATCATTGCCACGGAGAACATGCAGCCAGGGAACAGCATCACGAACTCACCTCACATTAGTAGGATGGCAGGTGCACGCCAGGGCCAGGGGCAGCTGTGCTGGTCTTGCCAAGGGCTCATCGGCTGCTCCTTGCCCAACTTGTCAGCTTCTGTCTTCCAGTGTCAGCCAGTGAAGGGGACGCGTACCCACTGGGGGCTCTGCCTGTTGGCACGCTGATCTGCAACCTGGAGAGCCACCCTGGGAAGGGAGCGCAGTACATCCGGGCAGCTGGTATGTCCCCACACAGGGAACCCACTACTTGTAGGGGCTTGGCTGAGCACAGCTGGAGAGGATGGTAGGGGAGCACTGGCCTGTGACAGGGATTTGCCATCTTCTTATGTTAGAGTGCAACACATCCCTTCTGAAAAGCAGGGGCAGCTCTGCCCCGTTGATTCCTCAAGGCTCTGTCTTCAGCAAGAAGTGCTGCATTTAGTACAATAGTGGGGGCCTTTGGAGAGTTACCAGCATAGGGATGTGCTTGTCACAGGGTGAGATATTTGTCCTGCTGCTCAAGGCAGCTGCCTCCTCTCTTGCCTGCTGCAGGTACTTGTGGGGTGCTGCTGCGGAAAGTGAATGGGACAGCCATCGTGCAGCTGCCGTCCAAAAGGCATATGCAGGTAAAGGAGCTGTGCTGCCCCTGGCTCAACTGCCTGGGCACACAGCCGTATGCCCCCAGAGAGTCCTGCAGCTCTTCTCTCTCCCCTAGGTGCTGGAGACCTGCGTGGCCACAGTGGGCCGCGTGTCCAACGTGGATCACAACAAGCGGGTGATCGGGAAGGCGGGCCGGAACCGCTGGCTGGGCAAGCGCCCACACACGGGCTTGTGGCACCGCAAGGGTGGCTGGGCTGGGCGCAAGATCAAGCCTCTCCCACCCATGAAAAGCTATGTCAACCTGCCACGTGTCAAAGCAGTGGAGTGATGCCCAGGACAAATAAAGCGTTTTTCATGCCACTGCTGTTGCATTACTGATGTCTTTTATGCACAGGGCCTTTCCTCACTTTCCCACGGGTCAAGTTCTGCTGTGTTCAGTCCCTGGCTGGAGTGGAATTGGTGGGAGAGATGAGTGTGGGGCTGTGGATTGCCTTGGCTTGAGTTTGAGGTTGGTGGGTGACCCGGTGCGGTCAATCGGCACAATCGTGTCAAACCTAGCTGCAGGACACCCGAGCTCTTCTCTCACCCTCAGCTTGTGGAGGAGTGAAGGCAAGCGGACTGGAAGGTGGCTTCCAGCCAAGGTGACTGGGAAGCTGCGAATCACGGACATCATCTCCTCCCAGCCCCGGCAGCGCCTCACTGCTCCCTGGCCCTTCTACCGCCGGCCGCTGCGTCCTTCCCTCGCCGCCTTCCCTGTCCCACCCTGCACGTCCGTCTGCGCGCCGAGCGCCGCGCTGCGCTCCCGGCGCCCCGCTCCGCGCCAGCGCCCCGCCGAGCTCCGCGCTGCGCTCCCGGTGCCCCGCTCCGCGCCCCGCCGAGCGCCGCGCTGCGCTCCCGGCGCCCCGCTCCGCGCCCCGCCGAGCGCCGCGCTGCGCTCCCGGTGCCCCGCTCCGCGCCCCGCCGAGCGCCGCGCTGCGCTCCCGGCGCCCCGCTCCGCCGAGCGCCGAGCGCCGCGCTGCGCTCCCGGTGCCCCGCTCCGCGCCCCGCCGAGCGCCGCGCTGCCGCCCGCCGGCCCAGCCCTCGCGGCCGCCGTCGGGCGGGTCCGCGCAGGCGCCGCGGCCGGAGCGGCGCGGGAGCGGGGCGGAGGTAACGCGGCGGCCTCGGCGCGGCCCCGGCGGAGGGCGGGCGGCGGCCGGGGAGCGCCCCGAGCGGACCGGCCCGGGACGGGCCCGGGCCGTTTGCGGGAGGCCTCGGTCGCGGCCACCGGCCGGCTGGGCAAGACGTAGTGCAGCGAACCGGGCCGGGTCCAGTGCTCGGTGCCCGGCGAGCTCTCGCTTTGCCCGCGCCTGGAAGGAGCTTTGGTGCTGCCGCTGGCGCGGCCGGCCCGCACGAACCCTCTCCACGGGGATGGCAGTGCCGTGCCGCCTGCCTTTAGCATGTGTGCCCGGGCACAGGCCTGTCCCTCACCGTGTCCCGGTCCCGGCTGGGCCATGTGCAGCTTGTGCTGGCCTCCTGATACCGCATGTGGGCTCTGCCTGCCTCGGGCAGCTCGCTCCATCAGCACGCAGCCGGGTGTTATAGCTAAGCTTCCTGGGGAAAGCTGTCCTTCCTGGGCACTGCTGTCCGTATTCCTGCCGTGCCCACAGTCTGTTGGACAGTCCAGAAATCACTGTGTTTTGCCCTATTATATTGTAACTATATGCGGCTTTTCAAGGAGAAAGTAAGCCATATCTCATACTTGCTGTGTTAGGACTGTACAGCACTGTCCTTGAGTACAGCTGGTATAAAAGCACATTTTTATGGCTGCATTGCCATATCACCAGCACTGTGACACACAGGAACACGGCTCTCTAGCCATAGCATGCCTCAGCCACCTCTCCCCAGCTCCTGCTTCCCCTCTGTCTCTGCAGACACATCTGCTGCCATGGTGAATGAGAAGCACAATGGCACCCTGCTTGTGCAGCTGGGGCCCAAGCTGCAGGCCCGCCCAGAGAAGCTGCTCCAGCAGCGGCGGGGCCACGACGACCGTCCGGAATACCTGGTGCAGTGGAGCGTTGTTAGCTTGGAAGAGAGAGCAGCGGGAGGCGGCAGTGCCTCCTCTGGAGAGACCAAGGCAGAGAACATCTCCATGTGGATGTCTGCAGAAGAGGTCTGCGCCAGCTGCCCGGTGCTGCTGGGCCAGAGGAGGCCGGAAGGGCCAAGGCTGAAAGAGGAGAAGGCGCCTGGTCCATTGGCCACGGAAGCCTCGCTGGCCGAAGCCTCGCTGGCCAAAGCCTCGCTGGACGAAGCCTCGCTGGCCAAAGCCTCGCTGGACGAAGCCTCGCTGGCCAAAGCCTCGCTGGACGAAGCCTCGCTGCTGGAGATGAAGGCCGATGTCAGGAGCCTGGTGCAGCGAGCCAGGCGCCAGGTGGCCGAGGCCGGGACACCCGAGTGCTCCATCCTGAGCACGGTGCACGTGCTGGGTGCCTACGCCAGCATCGGCTCCCTGGCGGGCGCCTTCAGGGAGGCGGGAGCCCTGGAGCTGCTGACGAGGATGCTGTGCCACAGGGAGAAGCAGATCCGCCGCAGTGCCGGCGAGATGCTGCACGCTCTGGGTGCACACGATGCAGGTGGGGGCTGCTGCTCGGTGCCACTGAGGAGGGGTTGCTGGGCAGCTGAGGGGTGCCAGGCCTTTGGGACGGGTGAAATGCCTGGGAAGCAGCATGTCGCGGGGCTTCTTGGCAAAAGGGGAAGAATCAGTGTGGATCTTCCAGACTTCCATGGTTGCAGTTGTCTGGACCGCTCTTGGAGTTAGAAACTCTTTCCCCTGCCAGGTTTCTGAGCTGGGATGCTGATTAACTGTTAGGAGTGTGAAGGAATGTAAAGGCTCCTCTGGCAGCCCCAGCACCTCTGCTCCACTGCTGGAGCCCAGCCTGGGGAATCTGTAGTTTCTCAAGCTGAGAGATGCAGCTGTCATTTGCAAGTTTTCCATTTGCAGGTTCAACCAGTAGCAAAGCTGATTGCCCATCCTGTAGCACAGACACAGGCAGGACTCTGACAGCACACACTTACAGCACTCACATAAACACAAGTACAGCCAGCTGTGTCCCCTCCTGCTCTTCGTCCAGCAGAGACAGAAGGTCACTGCAGCTAGCACATACTGCATTTGCCATGTTCACAAGTACACACACATTCATGGATCTCTTGGGTACCAGCATGGCCCCTCTCTCCTGAACATGTGCCTGGATCCAAGCCCTTCTACCAGGGATCCCCGTGCTCATTGTTAAAGCCTGCTACTTGCCAGTAAACCTGTAGCACTTTTGTTCCACAGTTCACATTAACACATCCCTTGGGACTTCCAGCACACCCACCACCCACCTCATACCTTGGTCTGGACCCAGGACCTCCTCCTTGCTATTCCAGCATGAAGTTTTGCTGATGAGTTACATGCACAGCAGGGTTGGGAAATATGCAGACAGTCACCCTTTCCCACTGGCCCCAGGCACTGCAGTTCTGCTTCAGCTGCTGGTGCTGAACTCTTCACTTGCCTCCCTTCCAGCAGCTGTTCTTCAGAACTCAGACTGTTCTCTCCCCAGTGGCTGATGACCGAGGATCCCGCCAACTCCAGGCACTAGCACTGGAGCTGACTCTTGCACAGTAGCTGGCGTGTCAGGCCAGGGACTCCTACACACCTGATCAGAACTGAGTAATTTGATCTGGGTCAGCTGTACACCAGTCTTCCTGATAACTGGCACTCCAAGCTCAAATCCATTATTTGATCCAGAGAGTGATGGCACCTCCAGCTGTCACTCACTGCACTGACTGACTCCACGGGGCTCCCACACCCTCAGTGAGGCTCCGGTTCGTGGTACCAAATGCCACTCATGCAGGTCTCACCAGCAGCTGGCACTCGGTCTTTGCAGCACACGCACAGGGTAGAGAGACTTAGTAAAGATTCAATAAGAAAGTAGGACAAACTGTGTCAGTCAGGTACAGGGCTGTCAAACAAACACACTGATCAGCCATGGTTTAAACATGACTGGCACCTTTTATGGCCCATTCTCTGCACCCCCTTTTGTGTTCCTTGCCAATTCCAATTAATCAGATAATCTTACAGAAAAATAATCATTCTCACATGCCAGATGTCCTTACTAATTGTTGTCCAGATGTCCTTACTAATTGTTATGACTGACCAGATTTGTTTCTCCTCACTGCATCCATTAGCATTTGTCAGTCAGGTTTGTGATTCTTCATGTTCTTGTTTATGGCTTCCTTCTTACTTTGACTTTTTGCAGTGAAAAGGTCCTTGACTTGATACACTTAGAGAAACAGAAAATCTCCTTCCATGTACCCTTGCAATGAAAACCAGTGCCAAAGGGCTTGACACAGCCCTGGTCAGTAGAAGTTGGTCCTCACCCAGTTTTCTCATTTAAGAGGAGCTGCCGTGGCTTGGAAGTGCCTGATGAGACTTGGGTGCACCTGGAATATTGCTGGTTGTGGTGTATCCCACAGGAGATATGGCTTTCCCTGTCCTAGTGCCTGAGTTCATGCAGCTCTGCAGTGGGGCAGAGGAGGGGCTGATTCAGCGTAAAACCTGACTTCTTTTCTTCCCTGGAACCCTGTTCTAGAATCAGTTATTTGGGGTTGCTGCTTTGTGAGAATCTCACAGCTTTAGGGGTAGAAAAAATACACTGTGGAGCAAAATGTTGCCACTCCAGAGGAAGGGCCAGAACGTGGGTCAGGTGACACTGAGCAGCAAAGCTGTTCCTTCCCTGCAGCTCTGTCTCTGTCAGGGAAGGTGGGTGAGGGTTGTCTTTCTGGGGCCTGAGGAGTTTTTGTTGTTGTTGCAGGGAGCCGGGCCTATGTGCTGCTGTCCCTGAGCCAGCAGGATGGCATTGAGCAGCACATGGACTTCGACAGTCGCTGCACCTTGCTGGAGCTGTTTGCTGAGGTCATGTCCTCTGCAGAGCACTGCACGTCCTTCGAGGGGATTCACCTCCCACAGGTGGTGACAGAGCCGCCAGCAGCCCTGGGCCTGCGGGGCATGAGGGGCCAGGAGGGGTGGGAGTGGGGGCCAGGGCTGGCAGCTTGTCTGGGACAGGAGGGGAGCTGAAGGTGGGCAGGTGAGCAGGACTGGCTGGGGAAAAGCTGGCACAGGACCTGGGTCTGGTGAGAGGCTGGGGGTGGTGCAGAGGCACCTGGAGAGCCTGGTCTGCGAGCAGGGAGGGGAGGGTGGGCTGAGAGGTCTCTGCTGTGCCAGCTGGTCCGGAGCTCTCACGGGAGCCTGCCTAGGAATGAGCTGATGGCTCAGAGAGCTGGGGGCTGGAAGTAATCTGCAGGCCGAGTGTGAGAGCTGTGCTTGTTGCAGATCCCTGGGAAGCAGCTGTTTGTGCTGGTGAAGCACTACCTGTGTGTGACTTCTCTCCTGGACAAGCTGAGCAGTGGCGTGGAGCAGGGAGAGGAGCAGCAGGGCTGTGCTGTGCCCAGCCCTGTCCCTGAGGAGAGGAGCCGTGTGAAGCAGGAGTTTGAGTTCAGCATGGCCATGGCAAACCTCATCTCGGAGCTGGTGCACGTGATGGGCTGGAGCCACAGGCACAAGGCAGAGCCGCTGCCCCAGCGGGACCTGCAGCCTCGCCCTGTCCGTTCCATCTTCCAGCACAAGACCCCAGCCAG